TAACATACAGTGCCTGTATTTTAACATATCTTGCATAAATGTTTATCTACATAAAGAGAAGCTTTATTTGTACATATAACTGTTTATTTAAAAGATTTAATGGTAGCAAACAATCAGTATTTTTCCTTACTTATTTAGGTATTAGGTATAAGTATTAACTTACATATTTATGTTAACACACACATTTAGGTATGTACCACACAAAGCAGTGAGCAAGACTGACAATTACTGTTTTATAAATCATAATGTCATGTGTCTTATACTCTGGAAGAAAGAGTTCACCATTGAAACGACCAGTCTTTGAAAGGCTCGAATGTAAACAGTGCAATTGACAAATGCAAGTTTTCCCATGAATGTTCTATTACATGGAGAACAGACAGCCGTGTGGAAACCATAATTCTTGCAAACATTTGTGGGGCAAAGAAATGTTTAATGTCCCGCCACCTCCTCCTACCCCAAAATAAAATAGACATGTACTGGACACCTCAGCAGCAGCTGAAGTTGTTGCACAGTTAGCATGGGTTTTCAAAAAGATTTAAGTCCTGCTTAGGTCCTGCCAAAAGTTGTGTGATGTGAACATTGGCGTCCTTGTGCAGGCCCATGGCCATATGGCTTGCTGACTGCTCTGAAGTTACATGCAAAAGGCAGCTGAGAGAGACTCCTTTTCTGCCACTTCTGGAAGTCAGAACTGTGTACACGAGAGGGAGGGCTGTTAAGACGTGCATGATAACATCTCAAAAGGTGCCTCGTTTTGTGCAACCGTTTGAGGCCGTTTTGTTACAGCAGCATGTAGCTTTTTAAAGATGAGCTTGTGAAACGCTCGCCTGGAAAGCTGCAGCAAACGCTGGACTTGGCTGACCCTTCTTGTTGGAGAATTGCTCTAGGGATGCTCAATACATTTTCAGCAAACAACTAAGACCATTAAGGGCTGTGAAGTAGAAGGTGCAGTGGAAATGTTTTCAGCACTCATCTTTCACTGACCCTGAAAGAGTGGGGAGGGGGGCTGACTTTAAAAGATCACACATGAAGATTCAGCCTGTGTGAGTGGCATGAAAGAGCCCTTTGAAGCCCCTCCCCCCACCAGGAAGATTGCACAGAGTTGACTGGGGATCTAAAATCATGAAGAGCTTGACAGACTGTCGTCTTGGGATGGCAGCCTACAGCTTCGGGCTATCTGAAACGCAGAAAAAGTAACCTGCTTGGGGAAAAAAAGCAATTCTGCATCTATCCTCCCTCTAGCTTGTACACCACAACAAGAAGACATTGAACACATGTATCATGTTTTATTTGCTTTCAAAGTGTACCTTTATGTGAATCCAAGTGAATAGTGTGTTGCTTGTTTTAATGTTTTTCATGACTTTAACCAGCATGCATTTCCTTAGCTATGAAAATAAACTGTACAGGATTTTAAGTACGTTTAGTCAGATGGGTGTCCTTTTCATGGAGTATTGTTTTAACCACAGTGCATTGTTTGGAACTCTGCACATGCTGGTAGAAGGCATATAGTAGGTTACCTTCTTGTAACAGGTGGGTTGTGGGTTCAGGTACCCACTGCAGACACTGCTGTTGTGCCTTAAAGTGAGGTGCTTTATCCCAGTTGCTCCAGTCCAACCAACTGTATAAATGGGGATCAGCATTGCTGAGGGATAATTCCTAAAATGGATCATTATCACATCCAATGGGAGGAGTCACATGCTCTCTATTCTGCTAACTGCTACAGAGCCCAGAGTGAGCTCTGGCCCGATGAGCTGCTGTGCTCAGATATGGAAATTGCCCTGCCTTCAGGTGGCAGAATTCCTATGAATTGAATATAATCCTGAGGCTCTTGCATCCTTTCATGAGGATGAGAGAATGGAGGAAAGCTGGATGTTTTACACATTATAATCAGAATTGCATATATAGTATATGTAGAAAAGATGAAAGCCTTTTATACATTAACATAAAGCAGAAAACACCAGCGAGAATCTGAAGCAAAAAATACTGCAGACACTGGGAGAAATCCCTAATGACTTGTTCCATGCTCCTTTTTAAAGGTCATGCTGCAGTCCTGTAATTCACATGTAAATCGCTGTGACTGAAATAGTTGTGTAGGCATTCAGTATCATCAAGCTCTGGGATTTGAATCACAGGTCAGGGTGGAGAGTCTGAGATGGAGCTCTTGGTTGGATTACCAGGAACCGGGTATCCCTTAACCACAGCAGGCACTCTGCAGGCAAGAGTTAACACATGTGGAAGAAAGTCACCCTGCCTTTTGAAAGATATTTGTGTTTTATGAGTTGGTCAGAGGCAGCACGCGTCTCTTCACTTTTTCCTCTTCACTTTACTTTGGGGAAAAAAATCCTCACTTTTGCACATGGAACATTAACCCACAAGATTAGGTACTTTTTCTGTCTGGAGACAGATCTGATTTAAACCACAGCATAGCTGTAGACCAAGAAGCCATCCCAAAAATAAGTCAGTAAAAAGCAGAGGAAAATCAAGGGGCAGTGAAAGTGAAGGTCATTTTTTATTTTTATTTTTAGTAAATTTGCTACAAAACAAACACGTCATAGCCACTTTCTTTTCCCACAATGCCTACAGCACATTCCATGTTAATTGGAGACATGCTGTCAGGCCTCTTCACAAGGCAAGATCACAAGGGGCCATAGTTGTGTAGCAAGCTGGTTAACTGAAATCCACTCTGCCCAGGTAGTGCATAAACAATTGTGCAACACATCTGGGAAAATCTGGGCCATGGGTTTCTAATGGTAATGTCCTGGAATACACAGATCACCATGAATGCCAGTGAGAACCACTTAAGTTCCTTTTTTTGATTCTCTTCGTTTTTCTTTGTGCTTGGTTTTAATGAAGACTTGATATTTTGTTTGCTTAGGCATTACCAGCCCAAAAGATGGATTTATAACAAAGAGTTTTCTGAAAGCTGAGTTGGGGAAAAAAAAGCTCCAGGTTGCCAGTTTTCTCTTTTGTCTGACTACTTACGTGTTCAACATGTAAAGAGGCCAGATACACAGCCGGCTGGGAGGGTAGGGTATCTGCTCAGTTCTTTTATTTCATGCAGAGTAATCCAGGTTACTTTTCAGCTCCTGTTTTGCCTACAGTGTTATAGGAAGCAGCATTTGCATTTTATTTTCTCCCATGAAAAATTTACATGATTTCAATCATGCATACGCATATAGTTGAATTTTAAAATTCAGATAATGCTTATCTGTCTAAATATATAATTCTGTTTCTTACTCCAACTCTGTCATCAAATGGACTTGTAGTATCAAAGGGAAATTTAGAAATGCAGCAAAACAATGCAGTAGAACCTGGACAGGTAAGTCTTGGCTGGTGTAGTTAAGTGGACAGTGTTGCTAATCAGTCAGATAAATTGTTAATCATGGTTCCTAAAGTGCCCTGGTACTTATTCATAAATTTCATAAACTTTCTGTGGCAGGAGTTCATCAATCATAGTTGCTCCTCTTAACAGCATATCTGGGAGCACTTTCATTATCCCTTTTGTAATATCGTCACGTACTGTAATTCATTGAGCTGACAGATGGGAAGGGAGGTAACTGGATTTCTCTGGAATTGCTCAAAATAATGGGTCAGCGTACTGAGAGTGTGTTGATCCTTGAGTACCTGTTTGGGCTATTGATGCAGGGAGGCCAGTGGGCTGTACTGTCCACAAACCTTAAGGCACCTGAGGGTCCAAAAGTGGAGGTCTCTGAACTTCATTGCAATCTTAATTTGTACACCTTGTACTATGGTCAAACATTCCTGCTCATTTATATACTCTGCTTCTGCCTGGTATTTACTTATTTCTTATACTTGTGCCAAACGTGAGATTGTGAAAGAACAGGGCGATATTAATATTTAATACTGAACTTTATGCTACTCTAAACTGTTAGCAATGTAAGCACAGCATGTGTTTTTGTTTTTGTGTTGGATAGAAGGATAAGCCAACAAGCATATTTTCACCAGGTGGTATTTTCATTTTTGGTGGTAGCCAAAAGAACCCTGAAGACTTAAAATTAATAGTCAGTCATGTGCATGTATTTTTTATCTTGTTTACAGTATACGTAATGTGTTATTAATGAATTGTGGCATTGTGTTACAAATCCATATCACTTCAGTTTACAACGTAGCTATTTGGATGATTTCTTCCGTCAAATGAAAAACTGGAAATGTGTAAAACGATATGTTTTGAATGTCGGTCCATAAAATGCTTCTCCACTTAGCTACTATTTTTTCTGACATTAATTTGTCCACTCCCAGAAATAAATAGCGCCAATTTTATTTTGGTGTTCATAGCACAATAAATCAATTGAATATCTATTGGCAAGCTTAAGTTGGTAATGCAGACTGATGATTAATGTGCCATAGGTACTGCAATGTTCTAAAGTACCCTTCCATTGCCAGCGTTATTCTTAGTTAAATTTATTGCCGTAATATCAATATGTTCTTCTCTGCAGGCCGTGATTAGCTTTTCTGAAGTCAAGGGTATTGCATAGTTTTAATACAAGGAAATAGTTTATATTTAAAGAACTAGGCACAGACACTTAAAATTCTACAGCACATTTCATCCAGTGCAACTTGTTGTCTGATGCAATATGTATAGCTTTGTTACAGAAACTGCATGGTTACTTTCAAAACAGCTAATCAAACTGTATGAGTAGTTTTTTTTTCTCTGGTTATACTGTATGTATAAGCACCTAATGGATGAGATATTTGATGCAGCCCTCAGAATTAGCTTGAGGAATATTCTCAGTAGTCCAATGAAGGTAGCTGTAATGAATGAACTCTTCTTGTGGTAAATGAGTTGCATGTCTGCCAAGCGTGCATTCTTGCAGTCCTATACGTTTCTTAGTGGAAATTCTCAGAAGGTTATGTTGATTACTTGATATGGGAATTATGGGCTTTTCGGCAGATTAGCGCTAGCCCTAGAGTGTCATCAATGAACCTTAACGCTGATGTTCTGTGATCTTCAAGATGTTTTTCTCCTGTGCTGTATCGTGCAGAAAAGGGGGGAGTTGGAGGAGGATCCTGGAAAGGTCATGCTGTCCAAGCATAGCACTGGGAGGAGTGACGACGAGGAGGCGAGAGAGATGATCACTCCAGCTTTGAGAGCTGCTCTGACAAAGCAAGGTACACGGAGCTGTTTTAATAAACCGTAATCCTGGGAAGAAATGACCTTTTTATCCACCGAGTTGGAGATTGTGCCCTGTGTCTTTGGTCTTAGACTAGCAATCAGGAGAAGTGTTCTGTGTTTTTGTAATGGTACCCCTTCTTTGCTGTTCTTTCCTGCGGTTAGTGCTCTGATAGTCCCTATATTTGAACAGTGAGGGCCTCAGCAGGAGTTTGATATGTCAGGTTCTATTCATGATGTGACTGCAGAAGTCAATTGCCCAAATGTTTCCCACCTTCTTGTGTGGTACTGAAGAATCATTTCAGTACAGACATGAAACCGTTTTAATAGCATGACCCTCCATAAAAGTTCTTCAGGGATTCATAGCTTCAGAAGTTTTTGTCTGTCACTTCAAAACGTTTTTTCTACCCTTCTTATCATTCTGAACCTAGTCTGGCAACTTACTGAAGGGAAAGGTGCAAATGTTGAAGTACCTGAGAATTCTCATTTATAAATCTTTAAAGAGCTTTTGAAGGTGACTATAAGATTGTACGTTTATTGCCAGTCTTACCCTCACCAATTGGGCAGTAAACTAGGGAGTGGATTCAGGATTATGCCATTTCTAAAATTATTGAATTTTTTTCCATAGGCCGTGTGGTGTCTGCTCATGTATTTATTTTCCACAATATGTTGTTATTTTTCTTTTCTTTGTTTATTTTGCAAGAAGATTGCTAATTGCTTAATTGAATCATTCTTTAAAAATATATTTAGTGGTAGGGAGGTAATTGCATTTTAACTTCATAATTTACTTCACCACTCTACTGGGGTGTTTTAAGCAGGTTTTAATGAGGTTGGCTCTGCACTGCAGTTTTTTTTTCTGTTGCCAGATGAATCCCTTTCCCTAAGTAGTGTAGCACTCGGTTTCACGGTTATACAAATACCATGTCTTTGAAAGTAGTATATAATGTCATGGCAGAGTCCAATTATTTTACTGTTGTTTGGGAATCCTAGGAATTTTAACCTTGCAGCTTTCAAGGGTAATAGCCTTCATGGCCATGCACCCCAAGAACACAACCCCCAAAACCATGCAGACGCCAAACCTATTCCGAAACCTCTTTGAATGCAGTGGGACAGAGACCAAGTCACCCAGTCAAGTGTGCTATCTCTCTCAAAAGCCAGTACATGCCTGTCCTGCATTATGAATTGGGGATGGTCTAGGTTCTGTTCAGACCTTTATAATTTTGGGAATAATGTGGGTAGGCTAATATGCATATTAATGCTTTTCTTTGTTACTGAGGCTGGTTATGTTACAAAACTGACATTTCCTTTTCATTGAAGCTTTTAATTAATGTCTGAGGAGAAGCTGTAATGCAGTTTGACACCAAACTAGTGTGGGGCCATTCAGACAACTTTTCAGAGTATTGTCTTGCATGTTAAAATACATGTTCTTCTGAATGTTGCAAAGTGCTTTTCCTTTAATGTCCACTGATGGTAAATTAATAGTAAAATTGATGGTAAAGTGCCTAAGGGTATTGTGGCCATAGGTGATCTGTGAATAAGAGATGGTGTATTACTCTTACATTACAACACTGCACAGACTGTGTTTTTTGAAGTTTTATGGCTTTTATTCTTCAAAGAGCCATTTTAATTTATGTCTTTGTTTGTTAAGACATAAGGCTCTGAGATCTGTGCAGTGACTGAACATTGGACTCAGTGATGTTAGTTGGCCGGTAAAAAAAATTGGGTACCAGACTGATCTCGGAGAGATGAGATATGGTTCTCTGTCTGATGGGATCTCTGAAGCCCTGATGCAATTATAGCACTTTCAGTTCTGAGCAGGTGTCGGAATTGTTATGAAATATTTGTCAGCATGGATTTGCAAGCCATATGAGTTAAAAAGATTAGTGGCTTACATTTCCAGAAATTAAAAATATAATGGCTTTCTGTGTAGTAACTAACACAGTGGATTAATCAGTATTAGACCATCTGCTAAACTGTATTTGTTTTTTGTGTGAAATTATGTTTGGAGTATATTAGTTTCGCTGTCTAAACTCACATGTTACATTGTGCATTGTCATTCTGGACAAGATCTCATGGTAGATATTTTAGTTTTTTTACCAGATGTTTGATTGCTCCACTTTGTTCTTCAACCATTTGTATCACCCTGGTAGATAAACACCTCCTCGAAAATACAGAAGATGTACTAATACAATCTACTTTTGTATTGACTGTGTTTGAATTATTCCATTTTCAGAGGGTCAGAGTCAGAGGGCTTACAGAGAGAGTTGCAACTTTTTTGTGTCCATATTTATTAAGTTAGTAAATTACTTGTTAGTGATTTAATTCACAAACTCTTTCTGGAAGCACGTTGGAAAACATAGTGGCATTGCTGGCACAATACACAGAGTACTTAGTACTTACAAAGTGACTGGCTTTGACTGCATTATTCTCAAACGTTTTGTGTAGTTTACAAATTGAAATAAGGTGGATGTTTAGCTAGTCCAGATTGTGCAAATTCAGAGTGGAATATGACTTCAATATGACAATCTTTAATGACCTTGTTTTAATGTCTCATCTGAAGAATAGCATCTCTTATAGCATAGCAAACCCAGTCACTATATTGTGGCATTGTTCTGGAAAACTAGCACCTACGTGTTCACCAAAAACATTCACAACACCACAGACCATGTCCAGCCTTGCTTAAGACCGCAATTCAATTAGATCAGTATACAACCTGGTAACTCTGCTATACACACAATAGCCATCACCTTTCTCCTTGAACTGTTGCGTATTTAAAATACCTCAGTAGTTATCCGATTCTGTAGAGTCAATTATATTCCTTTACACATTGTTTTAAATTGAGATTTGTGTTCTGTGTTTTTAGCTATTTGATGCAAGCACACTTAGTTTAAATCAAAGTGCTTATTTAGAGGTGCAGTATTGATTTTGAAATGTACAATTTAAATATGTCACGACTATATTAAAATGAAATGATTTAGCTCGTTTGGCAACAATTTCCATTTGAATTCAATCTTTGGAGCATCATGTTCTCTTAATAGCTTTCCATTTCTATTTCTGGTGTTGCTAATGTTTGTTTTGCAATCTCTTGTTGTTTTGCAAAATGTCTTTGGATCAATGGCTGAAAAAAATATTTTTTGTTACAGAACACAAAATACGTGATAAGTGTTTTATTAAACAAGCAGGACTGTCAGATTTTTAGTATCCTTGGAATAGCCGAAAATTTGTTTTTTTGTACCAGTTTTATTAGGATGTTTTACTAATATGAAAGGAATGAGAAAACCTTCAGTTAAACTAATCAAGAACTAATGCATCTGCTGTGTTTTACTAATTAAACAACTTTAAATTCAGAAATCTGGAAATGCCATTTTTTTAGATTGTACTTAAAAGACATATCTGATTCTCTCTAAAATGAGGACGTCTCATTTTTTCTTTAGGTGTATAGTTAATGTACAAAAAAAGAGATTTAGTTTGAGATTGCTTAGTCACAGTCTTCCACAGCTCTGACACCCTGTTGTGCTCAAGCACTTAGACAGCTGCTGCTTGATTTCTTTAATGCTTCTGACTGACGTGCTGAGATAACAAAAAGCCACATTTTGGAACGTGCAGAATAAAATGCTTAGCTGGCATATGTTGTCTTCTTCCTGTTTTAGCCATTATTCTTCAAGGTTTTGTTTCATGGGGCTCCGTGAATTTCGTTTTCTCCTGTTCGCACAATGGCAGTTTTTACAAAGGGTCTTGCTGACAATATCGTGAAAACAGGAGCCCAGAATTTATACCCAGGTGCTCTCTTGAGGCCTCCCTCCTCCGAGATCAAAAGGCCTCTGTGTGTGTGTTCACCGCTTGTTTTGATGGGACCAGACTGTGAAATAAATTATTGAATGCTTCCTGTCCATGCAATCTGCCATAGGTCCAGCTTCCATAATTGCATTTTTTTTTTAAGGTTAATCAGTAAACTGGATTTCATTCCTGCAATGCTGCCAGGGACTGCAGCGCTTGTGACGTGAAGTTATGAAAATAATCTTGGCTTTCGAAACCTTTGAGTTTTTAAAAATATTGAAGGTGTTCCCTCCTAATCCATTTAATTGTTCTTTGTTTTTTTATTGTTTTACAAATGGAGCACAGTACAGTTTCCTCCTTGAATGCCATAGCATATTATTATTCTTTCCATTTGTATATTGGACTATAATGTTATTTTAATTTGAAAGATGGGTATGCTGTTAACCTGTTCCTTACTATTAACATTAAAAGCAAAAAAAACAATGTAAGAAGTATGTCGAATTTTAACATACAGTAACAATGGAATACATGCAAGGGTGTTTCCCTCTCAACGTTTAGCTGTTGAACTGTTAACTGCTGTTGTCCTCTCCATCTGGGAAAACATACAATACACCCAGGATGCTCTGGGCTTCAAACAAGCTGTGCTGGAGAATGGGCCTCCAGTCCTGTTCTAGTATAGTCTGTCTCTAGCAGGGTTCGGAAGTGGCCAATACATAAGCAGACATCTAGAACATTCAACGGTAATTAGTTAAATATGGATTTTTTTTAAATTAAGCAATTTAGAAATCATTCTGGGAAATAAAAAGTACCTCAAGGAGCAGAGTTCCCTTAATTGAATAAATGACGTACTTAATTGAATGATGGCTTACAAAGATTCTGACTGATGTGAGCCAAATCTTTTACTCAAAGACTTTGATGAAGACAACAGAAAGAAAAAGAAACAATCGATGACATGTCATCTTAAGCAAAACATGCAAAAAAAAAAGACTCCGAAGTCTGGACTGGTTAGTATTGATGGCATCGCCTGCCTTGTTTTTCTGTATTAAGAGAACACATCATGTTTGATGCCTGGGATTAGTAGGAGTTGTCAAACATAAGGTGATTTATCAGTGCATATGGTTCTGTATGACAGTTTTAGACCTGTGACCTCTTTTTACAGTCATCGGCACAGAAAGGTCTTCACTTGCGCCGGCCTCTCATTACCACTTTACAAGGCTTCATCCGTTATGAATCCAAGGCCTTTCGGTGAATTTCATTCAAAGGAAGGGGATAAAAATGCCACTATAATATATTGGTATGAAGAGCTGGGAAGGCAGAATCATTTCACTGTGCCTTTCTCTTTACTTTAACAGGGTACAGACTAATAGGGAGTCATTCTGGAGTGAAGCTCTGTCGATGGACTAAGGTAAATTGCTGGTAACCTCTCTGACTTTCAGATAGGGTGTGGGCTTGCTTGCTTGTTGGATTACTGCCATTTTTATTTCAATGTAGACACATGGTAGAAATCTAGTACCCAAGTTGCATTATTGCTGCAAACAACTGTATCCAAATTGCTGTATGGAGCAGTGTGTTGTATGTAACTGTTGTGCTTGTTCTGTTTTTACTTGCAGTCAATGCTGAGAGGCAGAGGAGGCTGTTATAAGCACACATTCTACGGCATTGAGTCCCATCGCTGCATGGAAACCACTCCTAGCTTAGCTTGTGCCAACAAATGTGTCTTTTGTTGGAGGTGGGTTGGCTTTATTATATTCTACTTTGCAAGATGTGGGATTGTGAGATGAGTTACAGGATTTGAGTTGCAGTAGTAAAGTGTGCCCATTGCAGTGGGCACTCCAAACATCATATTTTGTTTAGCTTTGGGTATTCTGTACTGGAGAGATTTATTGCTGGTTGTCATGATTCAATGTCAAATGATTATGATGTCAAGCTAGATGTTGCAAGCAACCTTATGGCTTCAGTGGTGATATGCACCTGTTGACTGAAACCCAGCGTGTAAGTAATACTATCCATTTTCTTCCACTTCTGCATGTGATAATATATTTTAGTCCTCTAACGGAGCCTGTAGGTCTTTTCAATTAAAGCACATGCTTGTTTAGTAACCTGTTAGCACATTCAGATACTGGGAGTCTAAAAACCATATATTTTGTTTTAATTCCAATATCACTTTTTAAAAAGTAACCACTTTAATTAGTGGTGGCTAACGTAGTTTGTTTGATGAATTTTATAATATTTCTGAGAAGGACAGTTTTTAAAATCCCATTACTATGTCATATCATGTGACCTTTAACAATATTTTCACCTAGGTACAGATATGCAGAGATCTTTATCAATCACTGAAGTTACAAGAACAGCAGGCTTCTCCTCATTCTGGCTTGATTGTTCTGGCCTTGATTGATCTTGCCTAATTGTATTGACATTTTTAATGCGTGCTTAATATTGTTTTCTCACATTATGAAGTCATAAATTTGGTTTGTACTTCGAGTGATATCATTTAGTCACTTGAGAAGTTGCGTCTCGCAGTGTCTTGTTCACTGTCATTCTTGGGAATGTGAAAATTATTCATCGATTCCTTGGGGTCATAGCCGATAATAGCTTGAACTTTTTAATAGCTTAAGAATGTTTATTCCTGCACAAATATTGAAAAGAACACTGGCTCAAAATGATGTTGTTACAGACAGTTATCAAAAAATCCAAATATTATGTATAGTATGGTGTTAATTTGGAGAGTAATTAGATGTGTAAAAAAATGTTTTTGCAGATGCAATTTAACAAGACTAGGGAATGGTTTTATTTGGAGTTTACTTGGGAGATTAAAAAATATTTTGGGCATGATTTAATGGTCAGTTTTTAAAATTTGATGCCAGTGTTCTGCAAGTGTTTTTAAAAAAATATTTGTTGATTTTAAGAAGGAAATGAAAGAAGAGAACATAACTGCAAGACTATAGATTTATATTTGGATTGACTGCTAATCCCCAGATCTACTAAAGAGAGATGGGAGACGAGCAGCTGTCAGCAAGTGACAGACCCTTGAAATTTACCATGAACAGACATAACCTGAAATGGCCTGTCAAACTGGGGAGAAAAACAGTCCTTTAGAGAAGCTTTTAAAGTGCCGTGAGGGAATACTGCCAATGTTAAGACAGGATGCCATCTTCCAGCTCCACGACAGAATGAAGATAACCTCTGATCAGTCCCATGAACAAAGGTTTTTGTCCTCAGTGGTGTTGCAATGAAAACAGAAGCACTTGGGGATCTGGACGAAGTAGACAGCGGAATAAATGAACCATGCAATACAAAAGAAAAACAAGAAAAACTAAATGTTTTGACGTTGCAGTTGCCAACATGTCAGTAATGTCTTGGACAACAGCATCACTTTAGACAAGCTACTGCAATCCATTGGTGTCCAGCTCTTTAATTCCTTTGAGATATACAGTACATATTGTTTCTCACTTGATTATTTGTAATGAATAGGTCAGGTTTAATGATTCTATATAAGGTGATATGTATGAAACTGCAAGTCTTTAGAAGATAAAACTATTTTTTCTCATACCTCAGGAGCATTTGTATTGTAATACTGTAATTTATCATAAGTTAAGCTGCAGTCTCTCTTATCATGTTTTTGAAACAAAATTAATATACGAAAGTTCAGCAGTCTGACATTTCTGAACACGGGGCCAGGTTCACGTAGATAGTTACTGTATTAAACAGCTAAATAAGTAGAAATTGAGTGACCTAATTTAGGAGAAATGGAGCAAATCTTTACCTTCCATTTCAAGACGTGGTATAACTATTAAACAGGCTTCTCGAGAAAATTGGATTTCATGGAGTAAAGCAGCTGATGTAGCAGCAGAGGCTGTTTCAGTGGAGTTTATTTGCGGTTTCGTATGCTATTCCAGTAGCTTACAGACTTTATCAGCCGGGGAACATAATTAAAAGTTCTTTAAGCCTGGGTTGTGAACACCATGTTATACAGTAGAGAAAGACTGTAAAAGAAGAAAAAGTAATAATGATGATAATGTTTAAGGGCACTGTGGGAAATTTAATAGAGCAGTGCCAGGTAGAAAAAATGTAGTCTGATAGGATTTTCTGCAGGGATACTTTCTATAGACCTGAGTGGAAACTACCTGATTGTTTTTTGTTATCTGGGTTGCTCTGCAGGAGTTAAGTGTTATTTTGTGACTATCACAATATTGCCAGCCTTGTCTTTTTTTAAATAAACTCTTGTGAGTAAAGCCCTGCTATAACTCCACGGTCAATTGATTTATTATGCAAAATATTACCCTTACAAAACCTGAACAGGGAATACCTTTTTGTGACAGCAGCAAAACCTGGTCTGTAAATTTGTTTTATTTTTATTTGCTGGAAGTGAGTTTTAAAGCTTAATGTGCAATGTGAATTTTATTGTTTCATGAGGGAGTTACATAATGTCTTTTTGTAACAGCATTGCTCTCCAGTGTACAAATGGAGCTAAAACGATCTGGAATGATTTACAGAATTTACTAATTGCTAATTCAATGACTCATCTAATTAAAACAAGCTCACAGAGTTTGCTCACATTTTGTGCCATGCAGTATATAACCACCTTTTTCATGTTTTTTTTTGGTTCAGTATGTTTTTGATGCTCTTTACAGGTCTGATAGAGTTACTAAGGGGTAATAGGAGAAAGAACACTGGTGAACAGGTGGAGGTTTACCCTGCCTAATATATCTAGATGGAAAAAGGCACAAATTCCAGCAGCTGTTCTGCACTTTGAGTAGTGAATCACCCCCAATCAACAGTTAGCAGTGCTTGAGAGCACAATCTTACTAATAGAGTGATCTGTTGGTTCAGCACCACTGTATGGTAAAAAAACATTGTGGCATAGGCAAAGCAATATTTTTTAAATTTGAAGTCAGCTTTATTACTTCTTTTTATGCTACCCACTCTCAGTTCGGAGCAGCCAGGTATTACTGTAGTGGATTACTACATTTGCCCGTGTTTCCATATCTCTTAGAGATCATATATGCTTCCTTCTCGGTGTGCACACTTTGAGCCATCAGCACAGGTCCTGCGGTGTTCACTGAAGGACTGATGAAGGGCTTGCTGACAGCACTGCATGGTTGCTGGAGCCTAGCACATGATGGGATACTGTGGTCACGTTGGGCCTCACACATCCCTGCTGGTTTTTGGGGAATGCTGGGAACAGTAGCTTACATGACAGTTCGTACTCGAATTGTCCAATTTACAGTGCTCATCCTGTGTTATAAACGAGTGTCTTTACTGGTCATCATGTACCATATCAAGCCTTGATATCCCTGAGTCTGATCAGTTTGGAATAGATGTTTGCTTCCTATCTTAGATAGTGTCATCACTTTTGAGCTAGGAATGTTGCCTTTTTGACGGTGAATGAATTTGCCTTGTTGGGCTCTGTCTTGGCAGACATCACACTAACCCTGTGGGCACTGAATGGCGCTGGAAGATGGACCCCCCAGAGAAGATCTTGAAGGAAGCTGTGGAGAACCACCAGAACATGATCAGACAATTCAGAGGTAAAGTTAAGTTCCCAGGTCCCAGGTACACAAGCTTTCTTGTGGAACCATAGAGTAGTACTTTCACTTTTTCAGCAGTTTGCATACAGACTAAGGCTGAAATTACTCCTTCCCTTAATCAGTATTGTTTTTCTCTTTTTAATTTAAAGCAAAATATCCGTTGTGATCAATTAACAATAAGGATAATGAAGAATTTTGTAAAAAGATGGCTTAAAGTGTGTTTTTCTGTGTTTTCAGTACAAGAAGTGATCCTGATGCCCTTATGCTTGACTGTCCAGATTTAACCCTTAAATAAGCAAAGCAATCACTGTAATTGTCTTGTGGAAATGTGTCCTGTAGTTTAACAAATAAGAAGGACTCATTGACTAAATTGTTTCTCTTAAATGCATTTCTGTGAATTCTTAGCACAGTCTCTGTCAATTATACCCATGTTTTAATCACATAAACACATAAGTGATCGATAACAATCCTTTCCCAATTGCCTTACAGTCAGATATTTTTTTGTTGAAATGAGAAGGATTGTCCTTACTTCTTTGTTATTATTATTATCATCACAGTGCAGTGCTGCTTTCAGAAACTCGAGGGGATAATGGAAATATTTCAGCAATGATTAATTAATAATCAGTGAATATCGCTGTGACTCACTCTTTGCATGTAACATGGGGTAGTAACTGCTGGGCAGGTTTTATCAGTGTGTCTAATAATAATCTGCAATGATCATGAACTAGATGTACAATTGACAACAGTTATACAACACAAGGGCTTGATCTTCAATGAAAGTAAAAGATTTAGAAAGGTTTTTTTATGGCTGGAACCTTATAAGAATTATACAGTTCCATTGTGAGGCAAAGCATTTTTAATTCATTTTGACTCCAGCACAGAGCTCTTAGAGTCACTGTATTCATGCCATAAATGGAATGGAACCCTCACTGAATTTGCAGCCCAAAGGCTGCCCTACTTCAGTCCACTTAAGGAACACATTTTTTATAGTGATGCACTCATTGGGCTTCCATTGTCTCTGCTACAGAGAGCTCGGTGTGTGTCTTCATACATATCCCAAAGTGAAGCGTATTTGATCTATTTTTTATACTTTAATTATCCTACTTTACAAAAACATGGCTTCACAAAAATGTTTAACTTGTAATATTTAAAGATTTATTCCACAAATGTGTTCTCAGGTGCTATTTAACCTGTTTTGCAATGCATAGTGTATTGTTTGCTGGGGGATAGATGCACCTTCACCTACATCTTCTGTTAGCTGCATTTTAAGATCCTGCCAATGTTGCAAAAAGTGTGAGAGAAAATGGCAGCCTTTTCTACAAGAAGCTCTGTAACATTCTTGGAGCATATCTGTCTTGCTGAAAGGTACAGAAATATTGCAGAGAGTATTGCTGAAATACTAGATCTTTAGAAGGTGCAGTGACCACAATACCAATTCTTCCACATTCCATCTTATTTTGAGAGCGTAATGTATTCACTGCCAGCGGTAAAGGACACTACCGGACTTTGTGTAATCATTTTTATTCCTGAAGGATGATAACACAAATGTGTTTGTGTGTATATGTTTTAGGTGCCTTTACAACAGTTTTAAAGGCACACCAATAAAGCACGATAATAACTGATTTGCCTTTTATAAGAGTAGGTAATAAAACTAGACCAATCTCATCCTGGGAGTAAAAAGAGAGCGCTTTTGAGTAAATTGATGGAATGGAAGTTTCCTTCCAAGACATGTTTCAAGATGTCCTTCAGACAAGGACAAATGTTATGCAAGATGACGTTGCATTAGAAAATGAGAGACTGAGCTGAATCCGTAACTACTTCATTGGAGAGAGACAGGTGGAAGGCATTACTAATACAGCATTGAGAAGGCATACAACTCTCCCTGTTGTAAATGATTCATACATGATCCCAGCTGAATGTATTTGCACAATATTATAATATATATATATACACAAGAACTTTAATGGTTTTGGAGTTTTGCATGGCTTTTTAATTCATTTTTTCAGTATGGGAGGAAAAGGTTGTTCTTAACTTCTTTCATGTATTTTTAATGGAATACAATATTATTATTGATTGATGATTGACTTCTCATAAAAAAAATGAGAACTTGACTTCCTATGAAGATTTATGTTTGAAATGTTATCTGGCATTGGGATAGTGAGTCATTTGAGAAAGTAGTTTTCAGTTCAAGTTTTGATTATAAAATAATCTACAGTTTTATGCCGAACCACATTCTTGAGGAAGCCATCATCTTAGTTTTTCATGTCTGTCTCTGTCAAGCTTAATCAGCTTAATTTGATTTATTTTTTTTAAATCCCATAAACCCCAAATTTTCTTTTCTGAAAATATTATTATAAGTATTGTACATTCCTTGAAACTATTTGTCTACAAAATTGAGAGCTGAGGTCCTTCAGTAGATTTTTGACATGAAAGAAAAACTAGACAGTTTGGAAACGCGTTTTAATTCTGCTATACCCAATCAGGTAAACCAACTATAGGGAGGCACATTTGATGACATTAATGGTTCTGGTATTTTGTCAAGACTTTTTAAGGGTTGTATTTGGTTGATAGACACATATGAACAATAAAGTGGATATTCTTCAGTTTGTGATTGCTTGTGTCAGTGGTGCTTACATTACATGTTCAATGTATAACATGTAATTTCATTAAAGACCCACTTGGGGTTGCAAAAGGCATCCTCTTGTCTTATTTATTTATTTTCTATTGCTTGATGAAGATGTAATGTGATTTCAGTAAAAGCTTGTCTCTGTAATAGGCTGATGTGTGATTTGTCCTCCAAAAGTATATTTGATGAATTTCGGCTGAGGTTGCATGCGTTAATCAATGAAAATGTAATTTTATTTTGATTTTTTTTCTCGGTTTAAGAATTTACTATTTCTTTCTGTAGGTCTCTGTAGAGTAAAATCCATAAATGCCTTTTCAAATAACAATGTGGCTTCTTTGTATTTAATGGTGCTGCAGGGCCCTGTTGAAATCTAGCTAGGAAAACTGTTCCAAAGCCTCTGTCCTTAACCCTCGTGTACATTTGTCTGCTGTTCTGCACACGCATTTTAGTTTATAAAAAAAACTGATATATTGAAAAAAGTGCATTTAATACAACGCAATAAAGCATACGTTGAGTAATTATACTACAGTGCAGAGCTGGACTATGAAGATCTTATAGAGGTTAGTGGATAAACTGTGACATACTAAGAATCAGGCTGCAATAATCCCTGTAAACCCAATGTATAATTTAGAGTTACATGTTCAGTCAATCCAGCATATGTAATTACTAAACAGTTAGATAAAGCATATAGTGTGTGGTGGTCAGTAAAAGTATTTCAGTTATTGTCATTCTCTGGTTGATAGATTGATAGATCTTTAGAGCTTAATTTTAAAATAATGAAAGCTCTCCATGTCTGGAGTCATAGAATACATTAGATAATGGCAGGGAGATTTCACTGCACAGTAACCGATTTCACTCTGCTTTAGATAGCTGGGTTTTAAGATGTGGTGCATGAATTTTCCTCCCTGATGTGGAGTAGCATAACTTCGATTTGGTCAATTGAGAAAAATCGTCAGTGCCTGTGGAAATGTGTGAAAGCGATTTTGGATGCTGTCTTTTTTTCCACACAGTTTTCTGGTCGGTAGAGGAGAGTTGTTTCTAAAATAATGGATGCACTCACATTGGAAAGCCACATCACATTTCATTGGCTTTGATGATTATTCTAAAAAAAAAGGACATGGGTGTTGAGTGGGAGTGCTTTTTCACACCTCAGGGAAAGTGCATTACTTTTCATTTCTCCTGGTGAGGATATGTGCACTACAGCCTGTGAAATGCTGATGCACTTTCATTCGTCATATTCACACGCTTTGCCCTGGTGTACTGTATGTTGTTCAGAAGGAATTCTGCCTTGGATACTCAAAGCACAAGAAGCAGAGAATCACTAATGATGCATGCCAACTGAGAACCTATAAAGAAATTAATAGACGAAAACAAAAGCTGAGGGTATAGTAGAATGGAGTACGAATTCAAATGTTGTTTCGCACATTTTCAACATCTTAACCTTTGCATTTGAAGATAATTCAAGGTAATTCTTCAGAAGATAATGTATACTTATTACCTACAAGTTCTCTGCACTGCATTTAAGCACAGTGCCCGTAGCAAGTAAAGTACTTTATACAGAATAACCAAATGTCCAGAGTTTAAAGGCTGGTGGAAGTGATGCATGTGTACTGATGTTAATGGGGGTGTGTGTTGCAGGAGTTCCAGGCGTGATGGCAGACCGCTATGAGGAAGGGATGATGGTGAAGCACTGTGCTCTGTCCCTGGTGGGAGAGCCCATCATGTACCCTGAGATCAACAGGTTCCTGAAGCTGCTTCACCACCACAGGATTTCCAGCTTCCTGGTGACAAACGCACAGTTCCCAGAGGAGATCAGGTGGGGACAGAGTTCTAAAACATTGAGAAATACTGTGGCGGTCTGCCTCCGAGTTCTCTATAGCTGCTTTTGGAGACCATCCATGAGAGAGGAGTTTCTGCCTCACTTCTTCCTAAAGGTCATCTCTAGCCTGCCTGAGCACTCTGTTACCAACTTTTGATCTGTGCATATTTTAAGAAAATAAATATCAAAGTGTTCTTTGCAACTCTTAATATATCTTTGGTTGCCCTGCCAGAAATAAGCAGCTTTGAAATTGAAAAGCTTAGACTTTTGAAAATGTTAAATGTTTGGTTTCTGATCGATCTGTGAATTCTCAGTTCTCTGAAAAATCAATTTCCCCCTTTTTCTTTCTGTGAAACCCTAGAAGTTATTTTTGAATCGAGTTAAACAGGCTGATGTTAATTTAGCCAAACATTTATCTGAAGGAAACAAGTCACTCCAGTGAGGATACTTAGAGTGAACTTCAGTAACAGTACAGATACCATTGTAACTCGGTGAATGAGATCACAAGCAGGCTTTTAGTTCAAAGCATACTTTACAACGTTTCTAAGATGCTGCTGTTGGAGTGATGGATTTAACTGAAAAACTCCCCTGCAGCATACCCACTGAGTCTTTCTCCTCTGCAAAAGAGCTGGCATTGGATTTCACTGAATTAAAAAATACACTAGAAACCGCAGGCATTAATATTAATAAAGGCCCTACGTTTTATTGAAGGTTTATTCAATGAACAACATGTGTCAGCATTACAGATTCACATTTTCTGGCATGGGTAATGTTTCTGGAGTGTTAGGATTTTTTTTCTTATCTGTTCTAAAGAATATTTGTAGAAAATATGTTGTAGACCAGATTTTAGAGTTTAAATTGACTCTAAAATTTAACTGTGATCTTAAGTATTATGGGTCCCAATGTCGTGGGATCATCCTAACTGTAAAATAGAGAATATTGAGAGGAGTCCCTTAGTCTGACCGCCTTCATTGGCCATCATTTATTTGATCTAGTGGCACAACTCTGTATTAATATAATAAAGTAACCACTTCCAACACAAACATCTTATTTGAACCTTAAAACATGACACAAACTACATATAAGTCACCAGCTGACTTATATTTTCCATTGCGTTGACACACTTACATACGATTTCATGGCTGCCAACTCCCCACACACGTGGACTTTGCTGGCTTGGTAACAAATTCCTACAAACAAAAATCGATATTATTTGCAAACTTCACCTGTAAATAAAAGAGAATTGAGAGGAGAATAATTGGGGCCCCTCGTTTGTTTAAGCTATGCTAGAATTTGGCTTAGTACCTGGCCCCCAGTTCTTCTGTCCTAATGGAAAGTATCCAGTCTCTCAGTACACTGTAGAACATAGAGGAAAAAGCTGCCAACAGGTACTGGTGACATTTCACCTTTTTTGCTACATTGCACATTTAATATTACCATGTGAAGGTGAAAAAAATAATATTTTCCTTCTATGTGCTCCTTACATTAAGGATGCATGGCAGAAAACATCTGAAAAAACGAATACGTTCTTCTTTAACATTGGCAGTAATGGATTCAATTAATGGATTGGGGTTAATGTGGTGTCTCCTGGAGTAATAAATAGGAGTTACTGTGATATCGTCTCACCCATCCTCCTTGAGGGAGTCCTTCTTTGTCCTGCTTCTTGAGTGGAAGTAGCAGTTTTCTTTAGGTTATCCCATCTGAAAGCAGACATACCCCTACCCTCAGAAACATCTGGTGTGTGTGTTTAGTAAAATGATCCAATTCCTTCTCCTTTTTTCAGTCCGCTGGCAGGTTGGGCTAGTGGCTTTGTGGCATGCCTTTGCTCAGCACTTTTAGAAATTCATTACAGGCTTTGTTGCCACTTTTGAGAAGCCTTATAAAAGGTATGGTGGATTTTCTTGGAAGTGCCTTCACCTGAAACAGAAGCTTAGCTGAACTTGATGTTTGTAAAGCATTAAGCGCATTGATCTTGATGCTAATCTTCTTGGTGCTCATGATTTACACTAATTTAACTGTAAGAGGGTAAATGGAACAATGTAGCCTTAGGTTAAAACTGCCGCCTCTTGAATTTCCTTGTCAGAAAGCTCACCGTGTTTGTTAAGAATCATTCCTTACAGATGTCTGTTAAATGAATGAAGAGACTGAGCACTGTGACTTACTTTTCTGCTATTGAATTTTCTGTCCTTCTGAGATGAAGGGTGTTGTGGGAACTGCTTCAGCAGAAGAGCAGGAGACAGTCTTGTGCAGATTCAGCCTTTATTGAGCTCAGTGCATACAGTAACACAGAGCTGAATCACCCCTGCATAACGGACACATTTGTCTAAACCTTTTTATGCAGCATAGTCTCAGGTAATATGTGACAATTTGGTTCAGGCTAAGGTGGCTTACCTCCTGTTCTTTGAAGTTGATCGCTGTTTTATCTCGGCAGCTTCGTTAGGAGCAGATCAATTAAGTCAGTTCTTATTATACTATAATGAAACCTCAGGCAGTTTGGTGACAAAAATGGCTGTATATTTCTTCCAGTAATTATTCCATACATATTAAGTACTTCACTATATGTGTCCCACTTGAAAGTGTGGGGTACAGCTACTGTATGAGGTCTGAATTTTTTACATGACGTGGTATGGTGTGTGGCTTTCCTCATCAATGTAAATTAAGTATGAAGTTAGCCACACAGTGCCTAAAAAGGTTTTTTTGCATACGGTTATTGTGAACAGCATATTTAGGTCAGAGCGCGGTGTGCTCAGTTGTACGAGTGCACATGTGCTTTATCATTAAATCCATTTCATCCACAAATGTTAACTGGAACTCAGAGTTGCATACAATAGCAAAACATTTTCTGGCTTAAAGTGAAAATGGAGCAGCCTTGCTACATTAGTTATTAATTTTAAGTAGCTGCCCTGTTCTGAAACAAAGATATCCTTTAAAATGAGTAAAGATGTGAAAGGTTTTAACATTTGATTGGGACTGGTTTGCGGGAGGACAGTCCCCTGGCCGTTTACGAGCTAATTCTGGTAAAGAGGCAGAAGCAGTGACTGTGAGCAACAAACAGGGACAGAGGAAGACTTTCAGATTTTCATTTTGATTCTTCCTGCTTCCAGTGTGCTGGAACACCCTTGTTTCCAAAGTATTTTTTTTACTGAAATCAATACCAAGTCTGACAACAGGTTCTGATTTACAGGCAACAGCCTACAGCGAAATATAGTGTAAAACATTGTATTCCAAATCTACAGTCTCTCTCTAATTTCTGTCAACCTTTTGCATCATTGCTGTTTATGGAAAAACTCTTCTTATTATCACAGTGGGTTCGTCAAGCCGAATAAGGAATATTCTACACCTGCCATGCAGTTAATTAGTTTAATGCACTTCTTGAGTTGGCACAATACATCCTTTACATCAAAGTTTTAAAGAACTGGCAGAATTGTAGACTATATTAAACATTATTATTACTACTTCTTACTGTTGTTCTCTCAGTCTTCTGAATTTTAATCAAAAGGCCAACAAGTATCCTTATTTGAATTCAGAGGCAGTAGATGGGCAGTGGTGGGGCACTGCTGCTTTTATCTTTGATCAATTTACAGCATCTGTTCAAACTGTCATCCTGTTGACAGACCTCTCCTCTACTCTTTAGAGGTTTAATGAGTTCAAATAGTCTGAACTTCAAGTCTGTGAAAGATAAATGAATACTGTAACCTTTAGCTCTGTAAAAGCTCATGTCGTTTTATGATTTACCTCCCTTGTGTCTGTAACTCGGAGGGAACGCTCTCCTTACTCTGTTTTCCCTGATACTAGTTGACTTAGATCTTCCCAGCTTGCCCGTCAGAAGGCGATTAATATTAAGCCTAAATTGCTATACCAGCACTTAAAATCTTACAATAGAAAAACAGTCTTTTCTGATAGAGCGTTTGTTTGACAAAGTTTTGCTAGAATTTACTGCTTGTATGCAACAGTTCTTTCCAGAACTCATTAAAATAGCAATACCGAAAACTGATTGTATCAATCTTGATTATGTTAACCGCATTTAAACAAAACACCAGGTGCTATAAAATAACTTTATTGGCCTGGCATCAGGTTCTGTGGTTTGGGGCTGGTTATCAGGTTGTCATAATGCTCCTGCAGAATGCTAATCTCTGAATTCAGACCTGCATCCCTGATGTAAAACCTGCAGGATGTGAGAATATGATTCTGTCAGTTGTGCAGTCACAGTAAAATTGAATTTATGCACTAATGTACTAGTTGGCTTGATTTTTGTTCCGTTTCGTGCAACTCATTTCCTGCTGGATTATCTGACTGTATATTTTGCACATTCCCCATCTTTCGTCTGCAGATTTTCGTCGGGTAGCTCATTTAAACCAGATGATGAAGGCTACCAGGTGAAGGTGTTAAACTTTCTCGGTAACTTTGAAAGTCAGCGACCTGAAGACACTTGTGGGAAAGAGTGGAACTGTGCCACAGCCTTTACACGACTTTTTTTCCGAACGTTTCTCTGCAAAGTTCAGTTCAGTTCAGTTCAGGCTGCTCAGGAATTGATAGCAATTCACTTAAGTTTTTCTCGTTTACATGTTAAAGAGCCTGAGTTGGGGCTTTTTGGCAGCGCTCCCAGCCCAAGGTGTAAATGAAGGCTACAGAAAAGACAGGCTGCCTAATAAATCGTCCCTCCCTCATACTCGTCTGTCCAACAGGAGCCTTGAGCCTGTAACACAGCTGTATGTCAGCGTGGACGCTAGCACCAAAGACAGCCTGAAAAAGATCGACCGCCCACTCTTCAAGGATTTCTGGCAGCGTTTCCAAGACAGTTTGAAAGCACTGGGAGAGAAGGTAAGAAGGCCAGCAATTTATGAAGTGGTTAAAATGGCCCGTCAATAAGTTTGAATACTGTAAAACATCCATCCATTCATCTGTTTTCTTACATCTTCATCCAATTCAGGGTTGCTAAGGAGCTGTTGCCGTTGCAACAGGCACAAGACGGAGTACAGCATGAATGGGACACCAGTCCAGTCCAGTGTAGGGCAGACACAGACACTACCATGCACACACTCACACCAGAGTCGGTTTTCCCAGAAGCTACCAGTACATTTTTGGACTGTGGGAGGAAACTCATGCAATCACGGAGAGATCGTGCAAACTCCACAATCGGACCCCAGTGGTGCGAGACTAGTTAAAAAAAACATTGCGAGGCTGCGTGTTGTGATGTTGTGTGATGGACAAGGGTACAAGTTCAATCAGGTCCTCCATTAAATTTGTGATTCCCCGTTAAAAAGAATTAAAACACTGGGTTAACTTTCAAAATCCAGCGGTCTCATCCTGCATGTGCAAAGAGAGGAGACCTAGCAGGGTCGGGACACTGATGGCAGCAGTAGAGCTGTAATTGTCCTGGGTCTTTGTAGGGACTCTGCTACAGGCTTGAGCCTCCGAGCTGATTAGTTTTGTACTGCGTACATATCAGTCTTGCTCTATGATCGTTGCTTCTCTAATATTGCTACTGAATTTTTCACGGTAGGGTTTTATTAATATTTATTATTTTCAGCTTGACTTGGTTTAAAAGGTAAACATATTTCTAAACCTCCTTTCAAATAGTCTCCCCAGATTTCATACCTTGAGTATGTCTACATAACCTTTAATCACATACAGTAAGTGTGAGTAGAGGTGACTTTGTTGGCTGGGAAGTGTTTTTGAGAATTGCCTGCTCAATAAATACTTTTTTGTGTTATTAGTATAGGATACTGTGTAAGGCTTTAAAGTACAGGTGGCTTCTGCACTGTATTCTCAGGCAGAGCCGTGTCCTGAATCCATAATGCCAGATTAATAAACCAGGATTGATGAGCACTAAAGCTAGTGCTGAGTGTACTTCAAGACAAATTAGGAAGAAGCTTCAGAAGGCTCAGTGATGTCTCGTCTTCTCCTGATTCCTCTTCCTTCCTACCTTTTGGCTGATTTATACCTGCAGTTCAGCTGTTTATTACTTGCTGTGATTAAAAAAGTAGTGATTTCCAAGGGCCGTTCTACTTTGTTGTCAATACTAGGGGAATGAAGCAACATCACTTCTAAGGTCATCAAAACAAAATTGTAGATATGCTGTTAATCACATCAAGACATGGAAATAAGCACTTCATTTCTCCTGACCTTGTGCATACCTCTAGACTTTACAAATAACTTGTGATGACCCACTATAGAGTGTACTTGATGGATGAATAAAGAATTGCCAGAAGTCACATATAGTTATTTCTAAGGTTAGTTATTGGGAAATCTATGAATCACCTTCCAAAGAGGTTTCTAAATCTTTTGGCTGCCACTGATTGTTAAAATTGTACATTAGCAGAAACCTGATTGTGTCCTTTTTACCCATGATTAACTTTATGGAGTAAAGGACACAACCTGAACATAATTTGACAGGTGTTTTGAAAATCTTATTTATTAACCGGAATAAACTTTTGTCCTGTTTGACACCATTAAGTAAAATGGGCAGATGAAAAGCCATTCTCAGGTCTGTGGGCATTGGATACTTGGCTTCAGCTGCCTGATTCGAAGATTATTGGTTTCAGAAAGCAAATGTATCGTCACAGAATGATTCAGGTTGAGGTCAGGAAGATGAGGGATTTAAAATTAATACTATCGGTCTGTTTTTTATTAGGCTTACGGTTTGAATTCAAACAATAATTAGCTCTTAAAGGTTGATCAAATGATTAGTGAGACCTAATTTGAATAAGAGATAACAGAGTGCAAGTACACTGATTGCCAGTAAATCCCAAACATGTCAGTTCCAGCCAAAGATGCAGAATATTCCCAGTTTCCTATCTTAATAAAACGTGGCTATTTTTTCAACATTGCGAATATAGTGGAACATTTGTTGTGTAATAAGATTACATTTTAAAATAATGTTTGCCTGATTTCACAGTTTTATCCTGAATCAACATGTTCAATCAGTAATCAGTAATACACACCTTTATAAGGGATTTATAAGGGACTTATGTGAAGAATATAGGAAACTAGAAGTTTTCCGGTAACCAATTGCTTGCCAACCGGATTCAGCAATGCAAGGAATTAGGCAATTAACAACCAGCTAATTCCTGTCTGACCAGAACTGTAGGTGTTGGAGAAGTCTTTGTGTTTCAGATTGTCTTATCTAGATTCTTTTGTATTTGTCTATTTTTAGAGTTATTATAATAAGCATTACAGAATGAAAGGAAGCCATTTAGCCCATTGTCCCGGCTTCGTTGCTCGTACGTTATGGATCTAGGAATCATTACCTCAGTTTTTGATAATAAGGAACTGGTTGCAGCAACACAGTTTTTAGACTGCCACCTTTTCTGTGTTCTATTTTCAGAACTAAACATGACTGCTCTTAATTTCCTTCTGTGACTCTAGTTCGTCACTTCACTGTGGAGTCTGAATTAGTTGCGTGGTTTAGTTGGAAATTTATTGGTGTTTTTCTATACAGTCTACCTCAATGGTATTGAGCAGAGCAGGGTCAGCTCTTTGTATCTCAAATATTAGTCTGTTGTTAGCAAGACTTTCCTACAGTTACCTAAAAGAAGACGTTGATGCTCTTTGCTTGGTGAGTTCTGTTCTTGGACGTGAGGCACATAGTCTCACTTGTTTTTCCTTTCTTTGATCACAAAAAATCTGATGGGCTTTGTGCTTTACTAATCAGAACAGATGGTAAAAGAAACTGGGATATCCCAGACGTAGTACTGTGATCTATAAAGCTTAAATTAATTTTTTTAGCAGCAATTCACTTCTGGATTCTGCTTTTTCTGATTGTACCTTAATGAGGTTAATATTTGTATAGCTGTTATTAAAAGATTATTTGCATTCTTTCCTCGAGAATGCTTTGGAAATCCTACTGTTGCAAACTTGGTAAGAGCAGTCTTTAGGATTGTTAATGCTAGTGAAATACTGCCTTTTATCTTCTGTAATTTGCACATGTTCATTCTCTTCTGAGTGTACCTTTGTGTTTTAATTCAGCTCAGGTCAATATTTAAATACATTTGCTAGAAATTGTTCTGCTGTCCTTTTTTTTTTAAAGACCACCTTCCCTCTTCGATAGACTAAAAGTGAAAAAAGCTCTCAAAGAAACTCATCTTTCACTTAAGCATTGTGATTTCTTGCAGAATTATTATTATTAACAGGAAAAATTAATAATCCCTGCTGTTTTTTTTCTACAAAGTTCCAAATTTGACTATGCTTTACTAAACAGAAATCTGCCAGGTTTTTTCTCTGCATGTGCTGCAATTTAAAGCTTTAGGAATGCCAAGCTTCAGTGATGAGAAATAGTCTGATTCTTGCACTGGGAATCATTCAGAGTCAATGATCATTTGCATGATGCTTGTGTGCTTTTAAATTAATTTTCGCCGAGATGCTCTGAAGTACACTCCAGCCTAGCACTGTGTCATTAGTGGCTGGATTGAAAAGCAGGCTTATTTTGAGGTGGAAGATGGAATACGCACATACAGGAGGGTAGCTCATGGCAAACTGAAGGAACTTGCAGTCAGCATGCAGCAGCATAAAGTTGCACTAGGAGTAATCCATTTATAGCATGTCGCTGTTGGGAAATATTAACTGGAAGGGCTGCCTTTGGTTCAGGTGTTTTTAGTTCCATTCATCTGAACCAGCCTGCCTTGAATGCACTATTCCGCAGGGTTATATGTGTATTAGGACTCCAGACTGACTCCTCAGAAATAAACAGATGCAAGCTACTCTTTCAAGTGCAGAGCTGTGCAAGCTGTACAACATGTTTTCCTTCCCTTATGCTTGAGTGGCATTACAGATATACTACAATACCCACCTCCCCCTTAGGAATTCTTGATTCATGTTTTCCTCCCAAGAATAAGCTGTTTTTTAGTGAGAGACAGCATTCATGCTGTGGACAGGCAAACTGCGAAAGTAGAGCTTATGTAAATACAGATTTCTATTTTAATACAAAAAAGGATGGAAACTAGGGTAGAATTAATAACCTTTATTGATTATAATGAGAACGTCAGTAAGCCAGTTGTTAATAACTTTAATATAAAAGTGAATCTTTTGTCTGGTATAACTATTTATTAAGCCTGTAATGAGGTCGAGAGGTTATATTAATAGCGGATTATACAACGCCAGTGTCAATATATTGCTTTTTCATATTTTGTGGTCTAAGAGGTGTCTTTCTCAGTATCTGCCTGCAGCTGCAAAATCCATTTTTGCGTGTGTGTGAGTCACCAAGTAAATGAATTCAGACTCTTAGTAGTTCGCTCAAGTCATTGCTATTTGAGCAGTAATGGAAGAGACTTCCACTTTCTCTGTGTGCTGCATGGATGAATGCAATTACTAGTCATCAGCCTGTAATTTAGTATGGAAAAAAGAAGCAATTTAAGCAGGCTCTTACAGGTAACTGACTCAGCAGTGTGAAATTATTAAAATGGTAGGGGAAGTGACATACAGTACACGAGAATGTAGTAGTCTTGGCCATCAAATGCAACAGTTGAAAATTATTTGCTTATGATTTATGTCATATCAGCTGCAGAATGTTTGCTAGAATTCTGTTTCTAATGAACCCAAGGAAAAATGTGACAGGGGATTGGTCTCTCGAAGTGCGCAGAGGTTGTAACAACATATTCTGTAGTCTTTGTCATAATTAAGTGCCAGAAGATTATATTGTATATTGACCAGGCTTACATTATTTCTGTATAGAATGATACAGACATTTTTAAGAAATGTTTACAGAGGCTTGCTTGAACTCTTTTTCTAACACTGTGGAGTTTCTTGTCAGTTAATATTAGTCTCCGAAGTGTAGACTTTCTCAGTTTACTTCATTAACTTTCTTCTTCAAAAAAACAGTTTGG